GTCAATTGGTACTGAAGATAGTTAGCATCTCCTCAGTTTAGATATTAGGAAAAACAAAGGATGCAAAAATATAAACTGTAAAGTCACATCCTGTTCTACAGGTTCAAAAATCCAGTGGCCAATCTTTTATATACTGAGTCAGGTTCAATCGTTGGATTACTTGGTTGATACACTACAAAATGAAGATAAATGTTGTCCCCCACTGACACAAACGGAGGAAACATCAATAAAAATAATCAACAGGGGAACACATGATCCCCTTTGCTGTTCTTCCCACACCCTAAGTTGAAATGACAGAAAATCATGGAACTAAAAAATGCAGGAGCTATCCAGGAGTAAGTGTCCCTACCACAGGTTCATTTTCCCAAAATACATATTAATGCCAGTCCAGATTAGTATAAATCCTGTGCTTTAAGGGATATTTTCAAGGTGTGCCTGGGAAATCTCAGCTGAGTCCCCTGCAGCCTTAACTCTCTTCAGTATTTAATAAAATGTTTAGTGTTAAAAGACACATTGCTGTTACATAGCATGTTCACTAAAGAAACTCCAAGCTGGAAGATTTTTCTGTATATGCAGAACCAGTAAACTCAGCTGTGCATGCCATCAGAGGATCAGGGTAATTCTTACTCAAACACTCCTTGTCTTTGCGTTCACCCTACCTTCTGTCTGGAAGAAAGTAAATTTTAACATAAGGATTCCTTGGCCTCCCATCTTCCCTTGAAGGAAGATCCTTTGCTCCCAATATTGTCACTATTAACTGATGACCAACCTTGTCATACCACAGTTTTATCTGTAATGAGAAAATATTAATTAGTGAACTCATTTCTACAACCAAGTAGCATTTTAATCCTTAAAATTAATTTTGGTCGTAAGCTTCTTTTTATATTGGTTACTTAAACAGAAATTATCATGTTCTACTTTGTAGAAAAAAAAGCAAAACAAAGCATAAAAATAAATTAATAATATAATAGCTTGAATAAATACCAGGAGTTCCTCTTTTTTTAAAAAAAAACATGTACAGTAAGTACATTATTTCATACTAATTGTTTTTCACATGGTGCTCTGGTTAGGATTACTCTCTCTTGGCAATTATATTGTATCAGTTGCATTGCTGATGTATTTATATATATACATTTCTAAGGAGCTTATGCACAATGAATGAATGAATTTTTCATATCCTGCTGTGCTGGAAAGACTATGGGATAAGACCATAAATATTTCAAATCTCTCAATGATTTTCAAGATGCAGAGACTCATGCTGAAACCATATAAGCCTTCCAGAAACTGTAAGAGCGGGAGGCTCAGCAGTCCAACACTATTCACAGTCCAACTCAGCAACAACAAGGCAAATGTACTATTACCCGTCTGCAGAAATTATTATTAACCAGGCTTAGACTTGGGCTGCTATCCTTTTTTACTCAAGTCACTAGAAGCTGCTATTTAGCTATTTTAGTTTGAATGCTATAGCTGCAAGTAACCTATTCGAGGAGAGGATGTACCTACTTTAGAGCACCCACTGTGGAAAGGGGAAATGGTGGGGTTAGGACAAAACTGAGCTTTCCAGATAACCAGGGAGTCACTACATAGTGGTATCACTGCAGAGGACAAACTAGGACATTGACAGTAAACCCTGACCCTGCCTGAACTTGGGGGAATCAAAGGAGATAATGCCTAACTCCACACCTAACCAAGCAGCGCACCTTTAGGCATGACTATACCCTGGCTAAGGGGAACATAACCAGAGGAAGGGGCACTTTCTGTGCAGCCCATCTCACATCATCTCAAAGACAGGCTCTCCCTCTATCTGCTGTTACAGCTCCTCATCTTCAGCATTTCCGGCACTTAAAGAAAAGTCTTGATGGAATTCAGAAGACTTTTGACCCACCAACAAGCAACTGATTTTAAACGGATATTAAAAAGGGGAGGATACCTATCTTCTATTATCATGCTGTTGGCCCTACTAATGACTTTATAGGTTTCTGGTACTAACAGTTAAAGGGCTCTGTGGCTACTAAAACAGAAAACTATGCAAGAGAAATTCTCCTTAATACGTTAGATTCAAGAGAGTTCTAGATGCTGTTCCTACATTCTCACAAAGCAAGGGGCTTTGTCAGTACTTTTTCTAAACTAAGAGTTGTCTGGACTATAGGTATCCAGCTACAGATCACAAGCAGAAAGCTTTGCACCAACTGTATGAATCCAAACATAAGCTTTAATGTCCTCTGAAGTGCAGGGCAACTGAAATGTTCTCTGATACTAAATGCACCCACCCGCAGGCTTCCTGGGGAGTCCTTGAGCAAAGGGCAGACTTGGCTAGTCCCACAGCCCAAGGGGAGTAGCACTGAAGACAACTTTCTTCATCTGATTTTTTGGAAAAAAGTTATCCTTGTTTGAGCAGAATGCAACATATTTGTGATCTAGACACTATCATAAAACATGACTGAGTGAAGGTGAGATAATCCAGACGTGGGTGCCGAAAATATAACCAGAATTATTTGTTCATATTTAGGCTAAATATTTCTTTGCTTTATTTGTTTCAGAGAGGATTTTTGCTGGAAAACTTCAGCCAAAATGTTTGGAGGATGACTCTAAGCAAAAAGTTAAATCATTTGGCATCCTTTCTCTGAGATCCTCTAACATCTGTGTTTTGGAACAAGAACTTGAGATTTGCATTGACCTTCAACTTCTGCTTTTATCTTCATGCTCTGAAAAACAATTGGAAAAACTTGTATATAATGGGCATATTTTCCCTGTAATTCCCTGCAATTTGGCTTGAGGAGGCAGAATGATGACCAGAAGGCTCGCTCTCTCTCTCTCCTGTGTTCACACTGCTAGCACTCCAATATACTGCACATGCACTTGTAACCCAAGAAGTTATTTGACTTTGATGCAAAGAGAAGGGAAGAAACTGGAAGTGAGAAAATGGACACAGAACTCCACAGAGGGAAGACTGGGATTGTGTTCTCATGGGGTTAGAAGAAGGAAGATGGGACAAATCAGAATGCTTTATAATTACTGGGAAAGTAAAGGATACACAATGCTTCTTGGTGAAACACAGGAAGAATGGAGCCACTAATGTCAGGGACCACAGAAGGAAAGAGGGGCAAAACCAAACTGAATGAGGCAAAGGAAACGAGGTGTCAAAAGAACCAGCCATTCTGTAACTGGCACAAAATATGTTACGTGGAAAGACTGGAATGAAGGAAAATCTGACAAGACGTCAAAGCAGGAAATTGGAAAGGAAAATGAGAAACAATGAGTTAGACTAGCACATTGAACATGGAAAATGAGCTCGGGAATAGGACTGATGGAATTCTGACTCTCCTGTGCATAAGTATTTGGCAAGATTCAGATGGAATGGTATTTTCTTACAAGAACTTTGTCTTTTCTATTCACTAGAAGAGAAAGGACAGCCGTTTAAGATAGCCAGGTGCGGTTCAAAAGGACTGGATTCCATCCCTTCCTCTTGCCCAGAGCTCTTGTGCATCAAGGGGCGGATCCCTTAAAACATTTCAAAAGGTATTTACAAATTTCATGTTCTTCATTGCCTGGGAGCCTGACATGAAACCCTGGGGCTTGATTTGTAGTGCTAAGTAAAGCATTGGAATTGAAGTCTGAGGTATGTATTACACTTGGACGGAACCTGTCTGTCTTAGACTCTGATCATAGTTTCTCAATTCTTAATCAATAAATGCAGGATAATTCTACCACACCTCATATTATATTAGATGTATTTTATGTTGTGAAATAAACATGGGATAGCTCATGTATAACAGAAAAGTTGATGAGAAAATCACTTTTTACTTTTATAGCTTTGTTAATTTGTATGCAGAAAAGATTCCTAACATCAAAAAGTGAAGAACATCGAATTATTCAATCCGTAGGGTGAAAGTCCCACAAGAATGTACAGGTGTGAAGCTCAGCACTGAAAGACTTAAACCGCAGACAAACAGAGCAGAATATACAAGCCCTCCATGCAACAGTCTTTACTCATGGCACTTTTAAAAGCTTAGAACATCTAAGAAACTGTGACAATGCAGTCCTGATGTAAAGGAAGGAAAGGGAAAGCTAAAATTACAACAAATAAAATACACCACAGGAAAACCATGAAGGCCAATACCTGTAAAAAACTTCTTGAACGGGCTTTTGTCTCCCTAGATAATTTAGGATGTAGACACCTAAAATTAATTTGGAAAGTGATCCAACCTGAATGCTCCTAAAGATCTTTCCACTTAGTGTTGATGTCCTGGCAACTTATTTGCCACACACGTGCTCATATACTTTTCTTCCCTAGGCAGATGTGCACCTAACTCTTGACTAAACTCCCATTGTAACATACGCTCAGGCAAACAGGCATCTAAATCCAGTGCACCCTGGGATGGTGAGATATTCTGCCATCCACAGAGTGGAGCATCTGCTGCACTCCTTGAGATAGTCTTCCAGGTAAGAACACTTGCCATGCAAGAACAAAGAACTCTTCTGCAGCCAGGTGATGAAGGGGGTCCTCAGAGGGGAACAGCAATGAGGGTCTGGTCCCAGCTTCGTAGGATTCTTTCTGGTTTTTAACCAATAGTGGTCTAATACAAGATCAACGCACACTCTGGGTAGCAGGTCTGGAATCTGCTACGCTAAAATTAAGCTTTCCTTGCTATCACCACACACTTACATTCCCAGCCACACAGTACTGCAGCTTCAGATGAGACTTCGTACTCCAGAGAAGAAGGGGATGTGCAATAGCTTGCTGATAAAGGCACTTTTCTGAGAAACAGGTTCAATCTCTTCAATCTAAACGGGGCTTAAACCACAGACATCCTCTGGACTGAGCCTCCTACACACAGAACTGTAGATAAAAGCTGACCGCTGGTGTTGCATTCTAAGAAGTGAGGATGCTGGTATCTAGTATTCCTGTTTGGTCCTCTGTAACCTCAGAAGATACCTTCCTCTGGAGAACTGACTCACCAAGTTTCAAATTGAGTTAACAGGGATAGGTGTCCTTTATTTGGGCTGGATCACCCACTGCAGATAGGGAGGTACTCTGTTCTTTCCTTCGGATGTACAAGTCCAGGAGCCTCCCCCAGGAACCTCAGACTTCTTTGAAGCTAACGTAAGTTACATAAATTAAGCACATAAAGCCAGTTTACTACATTTCAACCTTTTTCTTTTAGGTCTCATCTCAACTAGAAATTTTATTCAGAGCACTGACAGAGATCAGAGTTTTAGAAAAGAAGCAATCATGTAATTAGGACCCATACTCTAATACATATGCATAGGGGAAATCAGTTAAGAAAATCTAGATAATATTATTATTGTCTCATCCTATAGCCATAGCTCATGAATGCTTGACTGTTTGCTTAACTATGCAATTCTAATGTGGTTTTGTGCACAGCACACACAGGCGCACCATATCTTAAGTGATACCTTCAGATTTAAAAACAGAGAATATTTGACATTTTTAATTCTTTGTTACACTTTGTTTCTTTATTTGCTATCTAAGAGTTGCATAATCAGTCTTGTTGAAAAGAGATAAAACTTGTGCCCCTGGGAGAGACTGCCTGCCCTGCAGTTTGGTTTCAACCACAGCCTACTCAAACATCACTGGGTTTGAGAGGCAGCTGGCCAGGCTTTTTTGTTCTTCTGTTGTTCACTATAATTTTTCGTGTAACCTACATCGCTGTTAGTTAAGGTAATAATTTGAAAATGAAATACTATTTTTCTTTCTTCCTTGCATTATCCTGAAAGAAGAGGTACACCCGCAGGACCTGCTGTCAAAAAAAAAAAAAAAAAAAAAAA